ATATATATATATATATATATATATATATATATATATTATTGCAGTTTGCCCCTCATATGGAGATGTTCCTCCTCTACCATTTTCTGGATGCACATTCCTGATAGGTTTGGTGTTGGTTGGAGATGGTCCAGCTAAGTAAGTCTTCACATGTAAACCTCTGACTACTGTGGACTGAATGACAAATTGCAAAGACCTACTAATTAAGCCACTAGATACAGTGCCTATGGATTTTTATGTGATCAGACTGTTGAAACAGACACTGGGAAACCATAGTTTTTATTCACAACATGGATTATGGAAAGCAAACAGGGAAGAGTGATGTGATTTGGATAAACAGCTTTACAACAAAGCTTTTTGCAATGGAAACTACGTTGCAGAGCTTTTGTCAAGATGCAGAGTCATCAGGAGGAGCATGACCAAACATGGTGACTTGGACTCTGATGATACAGTGAGGCTCTTAAATCACTTTAGTATAACATACTCAGTCTGTGTATATATATTGCCTGATATAGTAGTCGTGTGATAATTCAAGGATAAATCTAGCACACAGTCATTCAGTCTACACAAAAACAAGATATTCCTGAAGGACAGGTGAATTTGTTTGTTACAGTTGAAATGAGAGACAAGACATTTTGTTGATGTCTGACAAAAATAAAACTTTTTATTTTACAGAAGAATATCCAGGGATTGGAATCTGAGTAACTTGTGGTTGGATTTTTACAATGTATGTTAGGCTTGAATTTAAACAGAATGAAATAAACTGTATGTAGAAGAACAGTTAAGGTAATGGTTGTGTTTAAAATGAAATGAAACAAAATGGATATAATCATCATGTTAAAGAATACTGTAAAGCCAAATCTGATGTGAAAATGTCAAAATTACATTCATAGTACTCATTCTCTCTGTAACTGACCAATTAAAAAAATAAACACCAGAATGTGGAATAATCTTGCTTCTGTGACAGTTACCAGGAGTCCTCCAAACACAAGGTCAAGTAGGACATTAATAACTATTCTATGAAACAGTAGATAAGTTCCTTGATTAGTCAAGACTTCAAAAAGTAACACCTTAAGTTGAATTTAACATGCGACCTCAGTTGGATTTAAGATGTTTCAAATTATAAGTTAAAAAAATTCAAAACTTTTGTGGATAGGAAATGTATACTCTAGGAAAGTAAAGTATGTAGTACTTGCATACTTCCACAGGTTAAGATATTTACATTATCAATCTCATTATGGTGACCTGTATAATGCATTGGGCAGACAAAGTATCTGTGTGTATTATTTGAGCTTTAAATCATATTTGAAATAAACTTTAGCTTCAATGAAGGTACAGTATTTTGAGTTATTCATCTGCATCACTTTCACCAGCACAGCCTCATTTTTGGGCTGCTTTCTTTTCATAGCTAAGGTAAGACATGAAGTAAATCTTTCCTTGACACCATTGGTGCTTCTTAGGGTTCAACCAGTGCTGCCACTGAAAGCATATGTTGGCTCCAACAGTCTGTAGGCTGGCTGTCTTTACCTCAATAAAATTTGGTAACAAGCAGTGCCAGGTCCCTGTTTCAGTCACCTTCAGAAAGATGTGACCAGCCCTATGGTGAAGGGGTCAAGGGGAGCTCTTTTTTGATTTAAATGCTGCTGAAAACACCACCTATCCAAATTATTATTGTTACTTAGTTTTATGGATGAAGTGCACTTCTTCTAATGTGGGTGTACTTAATATTGTGTTCTTTCCAGCATTTCTATACATGTAATTTCAAAGTCTTGGAAAATGAAGAACTCCATAGGGCACAAAGATGAAAATGCCATAAGCTCATGTCTCCATATGCACAACATTCTGTACATTTGTAAATCCTTTACTCCAAAGAACCAAATGAAGTCATATATTACCTTCCCTATATATGTTGTGTTAAAGCACAACTTTGGAAATGTTACCATCAGTAAGGCATGTAGAACATGATTTTTGCTACTGTTTATTATAGATAACATGTTCAAGAGTATTTACAGCTGTTGAAACAAAATTTTCATCCCATTTTATTATTTTGTGATGCCATCGGCCATTTAAATCTTTTAATGGCACAAAAATGATCTTGACAAATTTAATAAAATGTAGACATCAGAGACAACAAATCCAAATAACATTTTCAATGCACCAGTAAGTAAAAAACAGCTTACTATACAGTGTGGTTCAGAAGTCCATTGACCAACAAATAATTCAGAAATGGAGAGGTATAGGAAAATAATTAGTAATAAGGAATGAAGTGTTGTGGACATACACTGTTACAATATCACATTTCAAAATCATGTCTTTCATAAGTTTTATTAATGTGTATCATGCACCCAAAATGTCAGTTGCAGAGGTATAGACTATTACATTTTAAACCTAAATTATGAAGATAGCTCCTCAATAACACTATTTTTAGGCATTAGTGCATCTTCTATGTGCATGGAGTTGTTCAAAAAAGATTGAAATCCAATCATAGCAAAGATTATTACAGAAACATAGGTTTGAACAGGATCAGATTTTTGCATAACCAGGTCTTTGCACTTTTATAGGATCTAAAATGTTAAAACATATTGAAGCAGAAATCCCCTACATAAGGCAGCATATAAACATTGTGTTGCATCTGCTGCCAAGTCATATAAATAATGGTAAGTATTCAGTTGAAGAACAGTTTAACTTCATCTTAGTTTCTATAGTATAGTTTATAAAGAGAAGCAGCGTATGTGAGTGCCACTTGAATACACTTAGGATTAGCTTCCATTGGTAGACATTTTGTACTGTTGCAAGATTGTTTGGTTTGTGAATGGGTTTGTGAGGAAAGAAAGGTAAAAAAGAAACCCTGGTATGAGAAATGGTTTTATTTTTGGAGCATTTATTTGCAATTTGGATAAACATCTATGTGTAGGCATTGTAGTGTTCACAGTACTGTAAAGTTAATGTTAATTTTTTTTATATTTTATGTATAGGTAGTATGGCAAAACGACTAGTCTTCTGAAAGAAATGAGCATCTTAAGAGCACCCTCGAACAAAGCTTAACAATTTAATAAAATTCTGTGGAACATCTAGATGGATTTTTGAATTTAGCATTATCAGGTAAAATTCCAAGATATTCTGCTGATGAAGTGTGACATTTCAAAGGATTGTCTGTTGGTCATCTGGTTATATCCACTTTAGCTTCAGTGTGATGTTATTTTCTGGACAAATTCAGTCATTTTGAACTTTTTTTGAAGAATTGTATTTGTTGAATAAATTTTTATAATCTTTATGATCATCTGAAATAAATAAGTATAAATAATGTATAATTTTATGACCTTTCAGTCATTATAAAATGTCAAACAGCTTCCATGATAAACTGGAAATTGGTTAACATGAAAATATGGTGAAATAATTAACTCTTTAATAAACAAAATTCAAGAACAACTCTTCAGTGTTTAAATATGGCATACTTTCCTAGATTCTATGGTTATACATTCAAAAGATAAGATAAACTACAATAAATGATAAAAGGCTGAAAATTCAGTGTAATGCACTCACATTAATATAAAGTTCCAGTTAGTTGAACTAGTTAGTTGGTTTAGTTTGTTCTGACTTGTTTCTGTTTATTATCAGTCTCTCTAATTACTAGCTCTCCTAGTTGTCTTGTATTGTTCTTTAGTTATCACTTGATCACAGATTATGAGTGAATGTTTCATAACACTAGACATTTCTTTGTTTCTAACATTTGAATACTCTTTTATACAACACTCTTAGATAAATATTATATGCTTATAAATACTGTTAATCTGATTATAATGGTCTCAACACTTAGAGTACTGCTATTGTAAGATCACATTACAGCTGTTGAGCAGTGTAATCTTATCTTCAAAAACAAAAAGATCCAGTATTCTTCTTATACATTTAAAATGCATATTTTAATTTGTAGATAAGCTTCTTAATTTTCAATATGTATAAACAAATGAAATGTAAAACATTACAAACATATTTTTTTAATTCTGTTCTTTAGGAATGGAAACTTCATTCAAAAATTCTTTTTAAAACTTTTCCAAAATTACACCTGGAAATAAATTTTTCTTTAGCAATGTTATGATATTGTTCACTTCTTGTTTAAACAGTAATGAGTTATTTGCTAAATAATATACTCTATAGATTAAAATTTTATTTAAACTTGTATGGGATAAAACTATTCCAGTTAAAATATATACCAGTGAAAGTAGGTTTATAATAATCTCCTTGAAAGTAATCCAGATATTTATTTCGAAAAACAGGATCCAAAAAAATGTAGTGTACTTTCTTGTTTAGTTTTCATAGTAAACTATATTTGGTTGCTTACTATTTATGTATTCTTTAAAGTTGGTTATAAGCTGTGATTTCTCAAAAATTACAAAAGCATTATCAAGATAACTATTAATCAAAAGGGGCTTAAAAGAAATCTGACATTCATTAATCCATTTCTTCTCAAAATGACACATATGAATGTTAGCCATGACTGTAGCCAAACTAGAACCTATGCTAGCCCCATCTTCCTGCTCAAATATTTCATTATTCTTAAAAAAGTAGAATAAAATTTAAGTTTTGAAACAGTATTAGGGGAAAAATCTTAAACTTAAGTTTTACCACATTTTGTTGTAATATTACATAAAAAACCACAGATTCAATTTTAAGTGTAGAATACATGAAAAGTTTATTTGCTAGTTAATATTCAAGCCATGTAAAAAAGTTTAATTCTTACTATAGATATTACAAATAAAAACCTTCACATTTTCTGATAGTAACTGCTAATATTCAAATGCAACATTTGATGATACTTATGTGGCCAGTAATTAACTAAATTTATGGCATTGCAACAAACATAGTATTATCATGTCCTCTTTTCCTACAGGTAAGAATAGAAACTATTCTAACAAGAGGTTGAACAGTAAATGTAATACAGTGTTAAACAGGATTATTACTATTGATTTGTGGAAAGACACTGGAAACAATTTTCACTGTTAAAAAAAGAACACTTTACTCATGAAAACAATGCAAAAACTAAAATTCTGAAATGGCTTATGAACTTCAAAAACCCATTGGATAACAATGTTATTTAAATATAATTTTGTCTTTCTTCATTATCCAGTCAATCAATACAGATGAGGACATGTCTGTTCGCTGAAATTTATCGCAGAAGCAGTGACTGCCGACCCTACATCATGTAATGAATTCACTAGCGAATGGACTTACGGACATGAATCTAGTTTAGGTACTACTTGTCATGTAGAAAGGTAAAGAGTGTAACTGTTATAAACAGTTTAACATCATACAAGTGCACGTAATTGTGTGGCTCTTGTACTAGTATATAAATATGCTGCAATGTGTGTTATTGTGATGCTGTAAACCATCAAACAATAGTTCTCGGTCTTTGAAACAACTAGCAGTCCTCAGCGAACTTAAGCAGAATATACTTTAAACTTAATTCAAATACTAAAAGTCATCAGAACATTTCCTGCACTTGTGATAATGTGCAGAAGCAGTTTTTCTGGCTGCATTCAAGCTGAGACATTAAGTAATTGGGCAAAAACTGTACTGTGTATGCTGGCCACACGAGTATAAACCCCAGCATAGTTGTAGGTTCTCCATTGCATAAAATACTCCTGGATATAGCAGGTCCTCTCCCAGATACATAAGTTAATTAGTATGTGCTAGTTATTTCAACAAGTGGGTTAAGGCTTATCCACTGGTTGGTACATTAGCACAATCTACCATTCGTGTGTTGGCTGAGCAACAAATAGCATGATTCAGAATACCTGGAAATAATCCATAAAACCAAGTTACTAGTTTTAACAGCTAGTTGGTTATCGTGAAAACAAACACTTCATCGTATCGCTTACAACATGATAGTTTGGAGGAACAGGAAGTAAAGATGATCAAGCATGCACTTGTGAACATTGCTAATCCCGACTAAACTGAGTGAAAGGAACTCCTGATATGCATTGTGATAGCATATCGTGCAAAAGCATGAACATCACCTGTTTGTTTGCCAAACTTCCTCAAGTGCGACCAAAAAAATTCAGTTCTTAATGGATGTGGTGTGTGGCCTGCATCCTAGTGCAGCTGTGATAACGTCCACAAGAATATGTGGACTGAGTAAGGTCTTCATTACTTGATGCATATGAATTTGCATTTCAAAAGGCCATTGTAAAGTAGAAGAGATTTAAAACAAGCAGTGAATGATACTGGATATAGCTTTAGTATTGTGTAATGGCTAGATTTTTTATTTTTCATGCAAGGACTGCTTGTGCACTGGTTGGACGAAAGGATGAGGGGGTTAATGCGTCATAGGATGGTCAGAGCATTAAGTTGTATAATCTCAATTCAGCTGACTAAGAGAAAGATGCTGACAGTATTTTCCTGATTGCGCGAGAGGAAACAGAAAAGAAAAGACATTGACCTCTTGATTGCTTTGTCTGGGATTAACTGCCTGACCAACAGCTGGGAAGGTTGATTGACAGCCGAAAGAAAGTGGCATTTCCTTGTTTTTCTTCCGAGCCACCATGCGTAGTTCCTGTGGGATTTTTGCGGGACATTGTGTGATAGCCAATTGACTGTGGACCACATTAATACCTCATGAGCACAACAGACAAAGAATAAAATGTATGCATGTGTTGTGGCTACACGTCATTAAATTACTTGAACTGTATATTCATATGCTTGGCCTGAACATTTAGTTCTTTATTTATAGTGTTTAAAAAACAGAATCAAAATACGATATGTAATATAGATCGATAGAAAATCTACGCGTTAATAACAATAAAATTTTTTATTAACTTAATTCATTTGATAATGAAATAGGTATGTTACTTTTTGTAACTAAACAATATAAGAAAAAAATCATCTAAGCTACAGGTAAACTATACATATTTTGTATAATTAAAATCTAATAGACCTGCACAATAAAGTAGTACAATATGGTGGAAAATATTTTTATATTATTGTACACATACTTCCCTAAGTTGAATGAACATGGACTACCCAAAAAATAAAAAGTAAAACTTTGCTTTAAAGCTTTACAATAGTACAGTGTGTACACATCTCAAAATAGTTAAGGGATTATCAGAGTTTCAATATTTTAGCTACGACAAGGCACTAGTATTATTAAATAATGTCAATGGCATCTCTGAGTTAATTTTTATGCAAAACAAGAGTCATGTGATCTATTATGCTAATGCTTACTTTTTACGTCTATGCATATTTAGTACTACTCACTTTGGAACACAGTAAATGGTCAAAAAATCATTTTATAATAACGTGTATGACCACCTCAGACCCTTATGCATGTCGTATATCGATCATGACTGTAGCAAGCGTAAAATGAGTGAATCAATGAGGTGCTGGGCTAGTATAGATCACTCTAACAGTTTGGAGGTGTTTGTTTGTTATCACACAAAGGGCTATGTTCTGCCCACTGCAAGTATCGAAACCTAAGTTTGATGTTGTAAGCCCGCACACCGTTGAGCCATTGAGAGTCATTTGCAGGTGAATCACGTGCATTTGCATTGAAAAAAGACAGAGTGAATTGTCGAGATTTTTTAGTTGATTTTGTTAAATACATTGAAGGTTCTTACAAAGTGTTTGTATAATTTTTATTCGTATTGATGTTCCGAACTTTTATTTTTAAAAAGCAAAGTGCAAATGTAACGTTCTCAACAAACCCCCAGAATTTGAAATCAACTAGGCCATTACTGAGAGGATGGGATGTTGCTAGACAGTCTTTAATTCATTGTGGATTTTGAACTGTGATATGTTCAATAGCAGTCTCAATTTTGGAGATACATGAGCATGATCACACACCTTGACCTTTTATTATTACTTTCATTTTACCGTCTACCACCGGGATAACTACTGTTATATCTTCATCAAGATGAAATAAGCTATTTAAACTGATTCTCGTAATTCAACAACTGGCAACACTCTTAACATACCAGAAAATTAATGTATTCATTGCCACTAAAACAGCTGAATACGCTTGCGTTATTGCACTTTGCATGTTTTGCATTGTTACGTATATCCACATGTGGCAGCATCCAGTGCTCCTAAAGCTCCATACTGGATAGAACCATTTAAAGTTGGTAGAGACAAGCTGTGGTGTAGACGCATTGTTTGTCGATTCAATGCTAACCATCTCCCAGCAGAAAGGTTTGCTCCATGGCGTACACTAAGAGAAATATGAAACTTTCCATCAACCAGAATCTCTTGTTTGAGTGGCCTTAGGTAACGTATCGCTAGAAC